CACTGCATGAAAATACATGTCAAACAAGGCAGGAGCTAAGCCACATCCTTGCTTGACACTAGAGAAAATGCAAGATCATCCGAGGTCTCTACACTCAGCTGCACCCACGCTCTCATACCACTGTGCAGAGGTTCCATTACACTTACAAAATAACGAGGACAAACAAACTTACCCAACACCAGCCACAAAGCCTCGCGGTTGTCCGTATCAAATGCATTGGTGAAATCAACAAAAAGCGAGTACAACGACTGGGGTCGTTCCCTGCACTTCTCCTGCAACTGACGAGCCGCATACGCATATCTTTGGTTCTGCTACCCGAGCGGAATGCACATTGCGCTTCCGCCACGTTAGGAACCACTACCTAAATGGCGGGCCGGTTTCGCAGTATTCGGGCAATCAGCTTGCCCACAAAACTCAGCAAGTTGGTATCACGCTAATTCTTGCAACATTGCGTGCTACCTTTGCCCTTGAACAGTGGTAGCAAACAGACATTCTTCAGCTTAGCAGGCACTTCCTCTGCAATCCATACGCGTTGCACCAAGTGGTGCAGCGCAGTCAACAACGCAAGTCCGCCTCGTTGTAATTCTTCGAACGGGTTCCCGTCGGCTCCAGTACACTTGCCGTTTCGCAGATGAGCAAATGCTCTCTGCGTCTCACCCAGTGTCGGCGTGTCCGCTACACTCTTCTTCACATCGTGCTGCTTGGGGCCGTTCAATGAAGACCAGACGATCGTTGAACGGCTTTCAAGAGACAGCCAAAGTGTTTCCGCCAGATCGGCATTGTGTCTGCGGTCTGTGTGCAGGTAGCGCCTGAACTACCATCGAGCAGCTTCCACAGCGGCTCCAAACTCGGTCCATACACCACCTTCAAGGCATCAAGGAAGTCCTATGTTGGCGACGTTCGGTGTAACATACCAACTGCTTCGCCTTCTCCGTCCACCATGCATTTTTAAGGCGACGGTGCTCTCGGGTCAGTCGCTTTGAAATTTGCGAAACTGACTACTCTTCCCCAAGTCACTGGGGTCTGTGACATGTGCAGCAAACGCTGCATGCGTCCCCCACATCAATGCGCCAATCGTCGCGTTGTTCTCAGTAAACCAATCAAACCGCTTACAGTTTGGACACCCGATGGTCTCCTCGGCGGCAGCTGTCACCTGGTCGCGAATGTGGTGCCACAGGTCGCCCACACTGGCTGTGCCATCCACCTCACACGGGCATGCAGGCTGCAGCAGCCGCGCTCCAGAAAGCGGTGTTTTCCGCCTGAAAAGAGTTCTCCATATTTACCTCCATAAATGTCTGCCTAAAAGCACTGTGAATTGGCGGTCGCGTATCGCCACAAAATACAGTCACTAATACTTGCATAACTGGATACTCCTTTCCAACCGACGGATATACATCTTCTATTCCCACCTTGCCGACGCTATCACTCAAGAACGTAGCAGCACCATCCTACACACCAACTACATAGCTACACACAATTGGTTGGCGGCAACAGGTTTAGGATTTGCATGTCCCTGTGACCAGCCACAGTACGCCTGAACTACCGAGGGCCCATTGGTGCCTTGCGCTGCACCACCCGCAGCTCCAACCACACACTCCATACCTAGTGTAAACCCAAAAGCATAAAACCGCGAGGCAAGTAAACGTATCATCAACAGAGCCAACCTACCCACGCAGTTAAATTCGTGTATATGCCGTTACACAAAGTAACACGGTTATAACAAACATATTGTATGTTTAAACATTTTTGATCGTGCATTATTGTCTTAGCTTGATCATGAATGTTAAGGAGTGCCGCGCGTTGTCGGGAATACAAATTTCCTTTATTCTTTTCTCTAGTTATTTATCCGAAAACCGAAAAGAGGACGAGTACGTTTGGTTAGCTTAACCCTCCTAGTTAGTATGCTTTGTGCATGCGCCAGTAATGGGACGTCAATCAAAGCGCGGCATACTGCACTCCACAAACGATATCAGTCCCATTGGTCTACTGGCGATGCAGCCAATATAGGCCGTTTTTTCTTATATTCCCATATTTTGGCGCATCGGTTCCAGGGCCAAGGACGATGAGGTAGAGCGTTCCACCAAGACCAAAATGTCCGTTGCAGACAAATTTGTAGTGCTGCCACAACCTTTAAGTGCTAACTGCCCCTAGGTCCATGTCTACCAGCAAACAGCCGTAAGTTTTCCATTTATACCATACTTTAACCAACAATGGTCCCGCCGGGTGTCATTATTCCCACTACACCTTCCAACGTCGAAGTATCGCAGGGACTGAGGGGATTAAAAGTACGAAAGCACCACAGCCTTCCAATGCATTATGCCTTAATTTTAGAGTAAGTTTTCCTGCTTCGGCCTGAACTGGTCGATTAACACCGAACATTTGGGACCGTGTTTCAAGTGCTGCAACGGCTATTCCATTGTCTAGCACAGAGACCGAAACTGCCTTTTGTATATCTCAGTGATTCTAACATATGATGAAAGGCTGAATGAAAAAGATTTTAAAAACAAAGCCGTAAGTTCGTCATATCATAGCAAGCGTTGTAAGTGACGCGCTATTCTCATGGGCAAGGAAAGGAGGTGGGACTTATCGTCTGCCTACCATGGAGCGGTTAAAGGTACGAGCAACTACGTGGTGAGCAAGTACTCACGACTGGGGTGTTCATTTGCATTAAGACGGACATTTATGCACAGTATTGTACACAGTATTTTGACAAGCACTAAACCAGGAAATTTACAGAAACCTCGTAAGGCAACAGGTGGGTAATACAGCCTTGGGTGCTGATATTACAGACTACATCTAAGTATGGTTTATACCGCATGACGCAAGAGACAGAATGGTGAGCAAAGTAGAGCAAACTGTGGTGTGCTTCATGCTTTTCAGGTTAAGCCTAATACGTCGAAAACCCTCCAAGCAGATTAAACCCACAACCACTGCTGCGTTTGGCCAACAACCCCATCTTGGGCTATAGGCATTTTTCAAAATCAATTATTCTTATACACTGGTGGTGTCAGTTATTTTCGATTTGTGACGTTCTCGTGTATTTAGCATGCACAATTTTGATTTCTGACCTGCAGCCTGAAGTGCCACATTGGTGTGCTCATACGTTAAGTTAGCAGGGCAGCACTTACTACGAGCACCTTGGGTGCGAAGGCATATTGGATTCGTTCGGTAATTAACGCATGGTAGTGTGGCTTCCTTACTGGGATATTGGTGGTAAGCAATGCAGCTTTAGGGAGTTATCGCACTGGAACGAATGGCGGTAAATTTCTATTCGCCGCATCCAGTATGATTGTTATTGGTCCGCCGAAAAGGTCCAAAATCCGGTTTTCGTTGTAGCAGTACACGACTCTGTTTAGGTCAGCCTAAGGTTCCCATAAGAACGTTTAGGAGACTAAGTTAGACAGGTTCTAAATATTTACTACCCGGGATAGAGGGCTTACACCAGCTTGTTTTGTAGGCGGAGACCACTGCAGGGAACACGAATCATGTAGGTTTTCAGAATTTCAAGACAATGGAGTAGATATTTGTTTATAGACTTCGGTAGTACAGTTGTTTAAGTGATATTGCAGACCGATCGCCTGCTCTACGACATAGTCACACCGCACACTGATGCTTGCTTCTGCTTACACGCAATTTATCTTAGGTATATTTTGTCCATACACGTTGGGTCCGGATTCTCCAATCGCTTTTCTTACTTCCGTACTAAGCACACATTTTAAGCAACACCACTTGCAAGTAGCATCTGAGCAGCGCCCCCACAATACTGCATGCTCTTATGAAGTGACGACCCAAACATGTAGGAACTCTCCGCATCACAACAACTCGGCGACGGTCAATAATAGAGTGGAGCGGTATAGCGATGAACGCTTAGCTCATACCCTTATATGCGCGACCAAAATAACGCACATCAAAAAATATTAATTACAAACTTTGGTGAGTTCCATACGTCGATAAAGACTGTTATACACTACCAAGTACGCTACTCATTGTGATAAATTTGCATTTCTTCTAAGTGATTATTTCGCTGGCTAACCGAACAACCACTTCGGGGCGACAACTTGGATTGGTTCAGGTTTATCCCGTTCCAGCGAATAGTTCGACGACAGTGTTCCAGGACATGGTGGGTTAAGGCTTGGCAAGCTTTCGCCATAAGCCGCCACAATGGTTCGTTTAACCACACTATAAAGTGGCGGTTATGACTCGACGCTAAAACAGTCCATTTCCCTTGATTCATACAGGCGAAGCATTGCATACTAGAAACATGAGGATCAACCGTGTAATCATTACGTATCCACAGACGCCCAACTTCCCTTTGGCGCTGGCGATACGTTTAGACGCAGGCAAAACCTTTATAAAGCCAAGCAACACACACCTATACTCACGCGTAAATACACTCATGTAGCAACTTATTTGACATTTTATGGCCACTCTATTGTAAATTAGTTGATAATCGCTTGCAATTTCTATGAGCATGCATGTTCAGGCGTAGTTCACTTTTCCGAGAATAAAAGTCTATTCAGTTATTTATCTACATAAATTAAATAAAGGTCAACAAACTGTAGCACAATCGTTAACCATCTTATAACAAGGCAGTGTTCAAGAAGTCTGTATTTCAAAAGGATATAAGAAAGGATTATTACTAAATTCTTGGCGGGATAAAAAATGAAATGATTTAGAAAATGGGCTATAGATTTTCTGCAAATATTACTTCGAATTCTAGTGATAATTATAAGTTTATTATTATGAACGCTTTCTAAAACCGTTCAATCAACAAAATGCTTGATTTTACCAGTTTTCATCTACCGCAATAACGTACTTGATTGCTTCCAAAGACTAGTTTGTTTTCTTATTTAGATGCATATTGAACCCTATGAAAGGTAGAAATCGTAAAGTAACATAAAATTATTTTGCAATGTATGGGACATTACAGTTTTATATAAATGAAATTATTCTACCTTTCAGCAATTAGCTGAAAATGAATTTTTGCGCAACGGATTGGTGGAACACTACCTTACATCAATCATGAAATTATGGTAACCGCGTCCACTTCACGGGGAAACAGAATTGCGACTGTAACAACCCAACATAAATCAATCAGATTCAAAAGGAAAATCAAATAGAGGCAGCTATTTACTCAAAAGTTACGAAATGAATGGCTACCACGTAGGGTGCAACTCCAACATGGTTTTAGTCTTTAGAATTCCTGTTGTCATGACTGCAACACATGCGGCAACATTACAATGTTGTCAACCGTTACCGACAAAAGTAGGCCGCAAATATATGAGGAAATACCAAAAGGTACAAACGGTTAACCTCTCTCTTACATTAAAAAGGAAGAAGACATTTCGCTAAGGCACACTTGAGAACCTCCCTATTTGGATCCGAGAACGAGGATCAGGAGCCAAATATTGCAAGCGAATGTTTAAAGAAATGCTGGTCGACGTCCGTTTCTCGTTTTTTTGTACATTTTGAACAGGTCGAAGGCTAACCATTTTGAATCAAGCAATGTTGCCAATGTTAAAGTATATTTGTTCTTTAGAAACTCATTATGATATGTATCAGGAAAGTGAGGAAACCAATTCTCCGGAAATGCAGCAGAAACACCAAGCAGGAACGAAGGTAGACCTGATTAGTATCTATCCTAATATATTAAAGGATTACAAACGGAGCTTAAAGTTTGCTAATTTGGATTCAAGTGACAATGATGATGAATTTGTCGGTGAGTTTTAAAGATTCTCTACCATAGGTTTTCCTTTAGCAAATCAGATGAATGGGTTAACGGGATCACAGAATACCGCTTTGACAGAAAGCAAAGTTAAGGCCATCGAATCACCAAGCTCCAACATTTCATCTAAAGGAGAATACAAACACTGCTATTTACCGTGGAATCAAAATCAAGCGGAAAACCTGTCCGCGCTGCGCTCTCCACACAACGACTTGGATCAAGCAAGCCAGGTTGGTGTGTGCCTACAGAAAGTGATACTAGCACGAAATCATGGTTAGATATTATGAATGATTCATTGACGAAAAAACAACAGAATTGACGAAAATGTGAATTCATCCGCCTAGCAATGTCAGTAGGTATACCCTCAGAATTAGAACACATGATGACCACAACAGCAAGAGACACTGAAAATAAAAGCATACGCTTTCATCGAATGTGGAAACGGCAACCAAACGTGACTGTAGGGATAGCGGTAAGAAGTAAACAATATACTAGATCACATGAACAACGCATTATATAAACATTTTGTAATTACAGTTCGAATAATGGCAATGTTTAGATGAAAAGCTAGGTTAATAGCAATCAAAGTCGCTGTCAGCTTCTCAAACAAATTACATCACAAGCGACGTCATCAAAACTATCTCGGTATTTGGCAGTCATGCGTGTGACCTGTGGCGGCAACTTAGACTATTTGCATGTGATCATGCGGTCATAGATTCCCATTTCGTGGGTTAAAGTCGTTACACTATCCTAATTATCATGCAACCAGTAGTGGTATAAAACGAATGAATACCAGCCCATAATTGAGAGCGAAATCAAGTCCAATGAAAAAAGTGAATGAAATGGAAAACAGCGGACAACATTAGAGGGGATGAAAAAAATGAGGGGATGAATATGGCTGGGAGCGACCATTAGCGCATATTTTCACTGAGCAGCCGAAAGCTAAGGTCGATGTAAGCGAATAGTAATGTAAGGAGGGTGGAGGTAGTAGAAACCGAATACTTTGTGTAAAATCCACATTACTTGAACATTAGGGGTTAATGTTCGTTGTCGTGCAACACTATTTCAGTAAAGCACCGGCTGAAGGTACTAACATCATACAAGAACGAGTGTGCTGAATCCTTACTGATACACGACAATATGGAATCTCTAATGAGAACTAATAGAAGGATAAAAGTAAAATCTAAAGCAAAAGATAGTGCAAATCCAAACAGCTGGAATCATTGCAGCAGCGTTTCGTAAAAGCACATGAACAAGGCAGATGGATTACTGCGAACATAAGGCAAACCCAGCCAGACTTCCATTTATCTTTCTTGTCTTGCACCATAAGTAGCATTGCGCAATAGATTATTGAACGTAATGCACGTTTTGAGCAAATAGTCTGAATGAGAGATACTGGTAAACTCGCTACTGTTCCAACAGCCGTGTGTGTCTTGTACTAACTATAATGTGTATACTATACGTCGCTTAGACTCTGATCTGGAAGGGGAGAGTTACCAGTGGTGCGGATTTCATCAATACGCAGCTTATTGCCGGTCTCTAACTGGACGACAATAGCCTCGAGCACTGTACCATTCCGCATGGAGTAAAACAGTGCGCATCATGAGTAGCGGGGTGCGGACCAACTTGACCGCAGCTGCCTGCAGGCGCCTGCGCAATTCATCATTTCGCACGCAACACCACATGTAAACAGAGAGCTAAATATAGTGGAGGCCTGTGATTTCAATGCCCAGTATCCACGGCACAAAAACTGATTAAATCAGTGTCTTGTAATAGACGTACTAGCAGTAGTCGGCACAGATCAGCTAAAAAATTATGCCAAGAGCAGCGAATCCAATTGTCATGATTAGCGTAACCAAGATAGTAATAAATGACAGTGAGTGGTAAAATAGATAGAACGCGAACAGAGTACAACAAAACGCGGGTTAGGATAACAAGAACAAACAGCCATGTGTAAGAAACGAGAGTTTGAGCGAATGCTAGACACTGTATACCAGCATACCTTATGCTACATACTTTAAAAACAATAGAAGTTGTCAATAAGAGAACTGGGAAGAGGGAGGGGCTATGGGGGTAGACCAATCGGCCCCAGCATGAGCGCCAGAGGTAGCAGATGGAGCTGGGGGCCAACAAAACTGCGAGCCAAAATGTTCGGCCCATCGCTCCAACCGTCGTTGAAGATTGATGATTAAGGTGCCATCCTCTTCGCATATTGTTTCGCTTATATCAGATCGAACACCTTCGGTGACTCGAATGAGATGGAAGAGTTTTCTGGTATTATCAGAGAGACTAGCAAGCTCCATCTCCCTAGCACGTTCACACCGCCAAGCTTCGCGGTCCATTTGCAGACTCCTGCGCAACTCTCAACCCAGGGAGTGGCGTTCTTCACTGTGTTCTTCACTGGGATCAAGCTGTCTTTGTCCATCAGCGACAAGGAGACGGCGGAAATCCAATGCTTCGGTGGGTGACGGGCAACTCCACAAGTGTCGATACTGGCCGAAACTAAAGCATCTTTGATATGCGCCCACTGCGAATCGAGATCACCGTCAATAGTTGAGCCAAGCAACGTCAACAATGAGGCTTGATACCTGGTTAAGATCGAAGGGTTTTGTAGATACGCGATGTCCGGTCGGTAGTGAGCGCGGTTAAGTGATCCTCCGAAACGCATGCAAATCTTAGCACGAACCAATGCGTGATCGGAGTCCAGATAAGTTGACCAGTACGATCGGCGGTCCGTTACGCTTCCGCGCCATCTGTAGCTGATTGCTATGTGGTCAAGCTGGGAGCACTCTTGCGTTTGTAAGGGCGGGCGTCAGGTAGCAGTGTGTCTCCTCTAATGTCGAAAACCAGTGCTCGAAAGAAACAAGCGATGATCAGAGCAAAAAGCAAGCAATCTGTCTCCATTGTCTGATCGACTGCCACCGAGATCAAAGTTACCCCCAAGGTGGTACTCGCTTGGTGGAAGGCGACCAACCCGTGCATTAAAGTCCCCGGTAAGAATGACTATCAGTCCTTTTGGAGGAACACAGTAGTTCATGTAGTTGCTGGTAAAAGCTATCTCTAACTGCATCCGGGCTGCAGTCTGTAGGGGCGTAGGCGGAGACGACAAACAAGGCACGCTTAACGTCTCGACGCCTGCTTACGTTACATGAACCTCTTAGTCTGACTGCACATAGTCAGCTGTTGACTGGGATCCAGTCAAGCAGAGCTGATTCAGCCCTGGCACTCAGTACAACCCCAACATCATCTTGACCAATGGCGGCAGCTTCTGGGTCTCTGGAAAGCCGCAAGTAGTATTTGGCGTCAGAGTTTACCGGAGAGGCCGTTCTGATGACGGCGCTAGAGTCTTGTAATCTGGTCTCTGAAAGGCAACAGATGTCTACCGAAAGCGTTTCAAGACATGCTTGTCGTCCGATCTGCATCAAAGTTCGAACAGTAAACGCTGCGAGAATGAATGGAGAACCAACTCGAAGAAGAGCTGAAGCTTCGGTGGAGTGAGAGGCAGTTGCGATCGCAGGGCATTGAAAACCGGGAATTTGGCTGTTGCTTCCATCAGTTGCGAAACGTGGGTCGTTTGTGACGGTGACCGTGGAAGACCCAAGAGTACATGTGGGTGAAGGACGGGAGGTGGGGTGATCTGTGAGTGGAGGTTGAGCGCTTGAGTTAGCACAGAAGATAGGCATAGCAGGAGCAGTAGTAAGCGGTGTGGTCCATGATTCGTCAGTGGGAGTGATACTACCCGGTCGCCCAAGCCGAAGTAGAGGGTTGTCTTAGGGGGCCCTACCCCGAGCCTTTGATCAAAAAGCTAACCTACAAGGCAGCAGGGCGATGTGAGGGCCTCGCAACCCGTTGGTAGCCGGTGACCAAATAGATGGTTCATACACCTTTCGGTCTGTGAATGACCAGGGGCCCAACGCACTCTTAAAGTACAATGCCTCTCAGGGAGGGGCAAGGGGCAGACTTTATTTAGTTGCGAGTCACATCCGCCACGTCGCAGTGTTGTTAAACAGACATTTGTGGCTTTTTATAAGGGAAACGCTTGTCAGGCGAAAAGCCACCACGTCCTGAAACACTGCCGCCGAACCATTCACTGAAACGGGAAAAGCCGAACCATCCAGGAAATCGAGCAGGAGTTCCGGCACAGGAAGCGTTATAAAGCCCCCGGCCCTGATGGTCTTCCTCCAGCTCCATTTAAAGATGGTGGCGCTTCGCTGGTTCGAGAACTCACCGATTTGTTCTCAAAAATTTGGTCGAAAGAGAAAGCTCCGTCATCCTGGGGTGAATCGATAGTCGTCCCTATCTTCAAAAAGGGCCTGCGCACAATCTGCTCCAACTACAGAGGAATAAGTTTAGTCCCCGTCGTCTGCAAGCTGCTGGTGTCCATCATACTTCGCAGACTATCCCCAACACGCGAATCGTTGCAACGAGAAGAACAAGCTGGATTTCGCCTTGGTCGCGGCTGCATCGATCGAATCTTCACATACCGCCAGGTCCTCGAGCTCCGTCATGGGTATCAGAGGCCAACGATTGCTGTGTTCCTGGATATCCGTGCAGCCTTCAATTCTGTCGATCGTACAGTATTGGGGCACTGCCTACTGAGGAATGGTGTCCCCGAGAAGTTCGTCTCCATACTGCGCGCTCTCTATAGTCTGACCTCGGGCAGGGTTAGAGCCTATGGCAAGCGTTCGCCTACCTTTGTGGTCTCCAGTGGAGTTCGACAAGGATGCCCTATCTCTCCGTTCCTATTCAACTTTGCCATTAAGGATGTCCTGAAGAACGTTCTAGGCGATTCGTTGAACGCTGGCGTTGAGCTCCTCCCAGATAGTCGAGTTGTTGATTTGGATTATGCTGATGATATCGTCTTGCTTGGTGACGATCCACACGTCGTCCAACTTGCATTAAACCGCTTGGCGATTGAAGAATCAAAGTACGGTATGTACTTTTTACCATCCAAATGCAAGGCTCTCTTCCAAGACTGGCAGGTGCCTCTGCCTGTGCTCACACTTGCTGGTGAGACACTAGAGATTGTGGAGAGATTCGTCTACATGGGAAGTTGCATCACTGCTGGTGGGGCTGTTGGAGAGGAGATTTCGATGCGCATCTCGAGAGCACGCCTCGCTTTTTCTAGGCTGAGGCATTTGTGGCGTTGCCACGACATTCGTCTCTCCATCAAAGGGCGGGTCTATTGTGCAACTGTTTGTGCTGTACTGTTGTACGGATGCGAGACCTG